ATCTTTCCTCATGACTAGAGTTAAATCATGCATTTTTGTCAGAAGTACTCACATAAGTGATGCTCTAGCCTCAATGCATGATATCAGGAGGAATACAAATGAAACTTTTTAAAGAAAATATTCAACAGCTTCCCTGCCATCTCATTGAATAAAATGGCTTCTATTTTTCTATAAAAACATTTTCATAATTTTAATACTTGTAATCATAATACTACATTATATGTATTCAGCTTTTCTGGTATTTCAGCCTTCTATGTTTTTGTATCACTTCATAATTGCCATTTAATAATTGCTTAATATTCAACTAAGCTGATGCATCATAATTTATTTTACCACTTTCTATTATAATGCATTTAGCCATTTTAAATGCTTCATTATACTTGCTATTAGGTGAATAAAAACCATATATGTTGCATACTTTTGATGGAACTATTAGATTCAACTACACAAAAAAAATTATAGTGAAACATTATGCTAATATAAGCTAACTTCTTCTGTATTCTTAAGTCTCATGGAAATATTCCCCTATGCTCAACCTACTGACCTACTAATGGAAATTTTTCAGCAAGCAGGATCTGGTAGGGAACATGAATGAGATCAACATGCATTCATTCTCAGTCCTGGAAAATAATTTTGTATGTAGTTCTTATTGACACAAACTCAAGTCTTGTCAGTTTTGTTGATGGGCCTCAGAGTGCTTTTGTATATAAGTCTGCTTAGATAAAATGTGATTTAAAGGCCTCAGATGTGTTTAAAATTATCATTTAAAAAGAAATAACTTATTATGGAGATTCTCTCTTTCTCTCTCTCTCTCTCTCTCTCTCTCACACACACACACACACACACACACACACACACACACACACACACACACAGACACTAGGAGCTTTTCTTATGCTTTCTCCGATTCTTACACTAGAAAATACCTGTAAGAACTTTCTACATATTTATACAATTAAGGCAGTCATTCTGAATGTAACAGAACTATTGCAAGTGATCAGAAATAGTACATTGATGTTCTATAGCGAAGCCCTGCAGGTCCTTCATACCATATGAAGTGTCCCATTTGTGCCAACTCTGGGCCTTGTGGGATTTTTCAGAAATAAAACCTTGAATCTGAAAAAACAACCAACATTAGGCTGGTTGTATTAATAATGCCAGATTCCCAAGACAGAAAAGATAGAAGAAAAGAAGAAAGGAAGAGTGATGAAGGACATCGTTGATCTTTTAAGCTAAGTAGTTACCTAGGCTTCCAGCAATTAATTATGACTGCATTTCTAAAACTTGTCCAACCACCATAATAAAGAGCCTATCAGAGAATCAATTGCTGAGTGGGAAGGAATTAGTGTGGTTCTAACTAGTTACATCAATGCTTAATTTGACTCTTCCCTGTATCTAGTCAACTCATAATTATCTTCTCTAATGGGTCTGAGGGAGGGGTGGGAACAGGCAGTTATGACACAGATAATACTGAACAGCGAAGAAAGCAAAATACTTTCTATTAGGATTTTGCATATATCATATGATTCAGAAGGCATATGTTTATTTTTTTAGTTATGTTTTTCATAGACTAAATTTTTTGCAATTACCATGCTAATGAAAAAAACATTTTATATTACACTAATAGCTGGGAAAATATCCAAGGTTTTCAAATCTTCAAGGTAAAATTCAGGGGGCTGGGGTTGTGGCTCAGTTGTAGAACACACGCCTAGCAAGGCCCTGGGTTCATCTTCAGCACCACATAAAGATAAATAAAATATAGGTATTGTGCCCAACTACAACTAAAAGAAATTTAAAAAAAAAAAGATAAAATTCAGGAAATTGACTACTAGACTAAATGGCATGTATGCACGTATTTTCTGAAATGTTGTCTTTGCAATGTTCCCACTGCCTCAGTTCAGGCCTCCATTACCACTTAAGCTGACTCCCATTACTCTCCTCTCCTGTATTCCTACTCTTCAACCCTGTAGACAAAAGGTAGCACAGTTATAGCTGTATGGGATGGTGCTGAGTTTCCATCACTGTCCCCTGACCCACCCATCATTCAGGAGCTGTGGGGGAAGATGCTTACTTCCACATTACCACAAACCCATCAAGGATTACATAGTCTGTATCAGAAGGCTCACCTACTGAAAGAACAAGTCCAGATAGTGATGTGCCAATGGTAAATTCTTTGCTCTGTTGATCCACAGTTACATAGAACAGGTAATTGTCTTGCCAATCGACAGCCCTTCCAAATAGTCATGAAACCAGACAACAAGCCTTCCCCAGTACTACTAAACTGTGGTGCTCAGTCAATTTAGCTGATCTGAAGACTTCACCTTGACTTTCTGGAGCTGCAGAACAGCTGTTCTTGATCCTTCATAGGAGCTCCAGTAATTTGCATGTGGTCAACCTCCTACCATGCTTAACCATACTCAGCCCTACAACCATCCCATTCCCACTATTACTCTCTTTTCCTCTCCTCTTCCAGAAATACAGGTCTTCACTTTCATAATACTTTCTTTCAGCTGAAATACCACTTATTAGGAGCTTCTAACTCCTTCTTTCATTAAAGTATTAAAATAACATTTATGTGTTGCTTCATTCAGGTTGCAAAAATCTTACCTACTTTCAACTAAAACGTCTTTCAAAAAAGAAAATTGTTTTATCTTTCAAAAGTATTGATTTGGGGGCTGAGGTCGTGGCTCAGTGGTAACGTGCTTGCCTGGCATGCGTGAGGCACTGGGTTTGATTCTCAGCACCACATACAAATAAATAAAATAAATGTTCATCAACAACTAAAAAAATAAACTTTTTTTAAAGTATTGATTTGGAGAGGTGAAAGACTTATACAATGAAAACTACAGAACCCTAAAGAGAGAAATAGAAGAAGATCTTAGAAGATGGAAAAATATACTCTGTTCATGGATAGGCAGAACTAACATCATCAAAATGGCGATATTACCAAAAGTTCTCTATAGGTTTAATGCAATGCCAATCAAAATCCCAACAGCATTTCTTGTAGAAATAGAGAAAGCAATCATGAAATTCATATGGAAAAATAAAAGACATAGAATAGCAAAAACAATGCTAAGCAGGAAGTGTGAATCAGGCGGTATAGCGATACCAGACTTCAAACTATACTACAGAGCAATAGTAACAAAAACAGCATGGTACTGGTACCAAAACAGGCAGGTGGACCAATGGTACAGAATAGAGGACACAGAAACCAATCCACAAAACTACAACTATCTTATATTTGATCAAGGGGCTAAAAGCATGCAATGGAGGAAGGATAGCATCTTCAACAAATGGTGCTGGGAAAACTGGAAATCCATATGCAACAAAATGAAACTGAATCCCTTTCTCTCGCCATGCACAAAAGTGAATTCAAAATGGATCAAGGAGCTTGATATCAAATCAGAGACACGCCGTCTGATAGAAGAAAAAGTTGGCTACGATCTACATTCGGTGGGGTCGGGCTCCAAATTCCTCAATAGGACACCCATAGCACAAAAGTTAATAACTAGAATCAACAAATGGGACTTACTCAAACTAAAAAGTTTTTTCTCAGCAAAAGAAACAATAAGAGAGGCAAATAGGGACCCTACACCCTGGGAACAAATCTTTACTCCTCACACTTCAGATAGAGCCCTAATATCCAGAGTATACAAAGAACTCAAAAAATTAGACAATAAGAGAACAAACAACCCAATCAACAAATGGGCCAAGGACCTGAACAGACACTTCTCAGAGGAGGACATACAATCAATCAACAAGTACATGAAAAAATGCTCACCATCTCTAGCTGTCAGAGAGATGCAAATCAAAACCACCCTAAGATACCATCTCACTCCAGTAAGATTGGCAGCCATTATGAGGTCGAACAACAACAAGTGCTGGCGAGGATGTGGGGAAAGGGGTACACTTGTACATTGCTGGTGGGACTGCAGATTGGTGCAGCCAATTTGGAAAGCAGTATGGAGATTTCTTGGAAAGCTGGGAATGGAGCCACCATTTGACCCAGCTATTCCCCTTCTTGGTCTATTCCCTAAAGACCTAAAAAGAGCATGCTACAGGGACACTGCTACATCGATGTTCATAGCAGCACAATTCACAATAGCAAGACTGTGGAACCAACCTAGATGCCCTTCAATAGACGAATGGATAAAAAAAATGTGGCATTTATACACAATGGAGTATAACTCTGCATTAAAAAATGACAAAATCATAGAATTTACAGGGAAATGGATGGCATTAGAGCAGATTATGCTAAGTGAAGCTAGCCAATCCCTAAAAAACAAATGCCAAATGTCTTCTTTGATATAAGGAGAGTAACTAAAATCAGAGTAGGGACGAAGAGCAGGAGAAGAAGATTAACATTTAACAGGGATGAGAGGTGGGAGGGAAAGGGAGAGAGAAGGGAAATTGCATGGAAATGGAAGGAGACCCTCAGGGTTATACAGTGGAGGGGGTAGAGAGAGAGGAGGGGAGGGGAGGGGAGAGGTGGGGAGGGGGGATGGTGGAGGATGGGAAAGGCAGCGGAGCACAACAGACACTAGTATGGCAATATGTAAATCAATGGAGGTGTAACTGATGTGATTCTGCAATCTGTGTATGGGGTGAAGGTGGGAGTTCATAACCCACTTGAATCAAAGTGTGGAATATGATATGTCAAGAAATTTGTAATGTTTTGAACAACCAACAATAAAAAATTAAAAATAAATAAATAAATTAAAAAAAAAAAGTATTGATTTGGAGCCACATGTGATAGCACATGTTTGTAATCCCAGCTACTCAGAAGACTGAGTCAGGAGGATCACAAATTCAAAGTCAGCCTGGGTAACTTAGCAAGATTCTGTCCCAAAATTAAAAAAAAAAAAGGTTGGGGTGTAGCTCAGTGGTAGAGTATACCTGGATTCAATCCCCAGTACTACAAAAAAAAAAAAAGTATTGATTTGGGCAGGGGTAGAGTTTCAAAGCCTATTTTTGAAGAAAATAGAAAAAAAAATACCAACTTTGTATTTCTGATACAGCGATCCCAGTTCAAGTGTGGAAAGCAATGTAGCTACTCTGCTCTTCCAGGAAATAGGAGGTCACCTACAAAAAAGTTTAGTAAAGAAAAGCAAGGATATAAATATTTAATCTGTTATTTCAGGAGAGGGACTGTTACAAAACAGATTTCTCAGTTTTTTCCCAGCTCAGAACCCTTCAGTGACCTCATAGCATCCTTGGCATTAAGGCGACAGGTCCGAGGGTTCCATAACTTCCCACTGACCTTTCCAGTTCAGATTGTGTCACTTCCTCTTCAAGGCCAAACACAGCAAACTATTTTCCATTCTCGAAAAGCATTTTGAATTAAGTGGTTGTTAAATGGAAATGAACTCAGAAGCCTGACTAGAGACTCCAGGCCCATATTCACCAGTACAATACCTTGGTCAAGTTTCAAGTAGGAAACTTTATTTTCCTAAAAAAAAAAAAAAAGCAAAATAATGTGTTACCTCTTACCTTGCCTTTTTAAGCTCACTCTTCAGAGATGCAAAGAAATCATATCATCTTTGCAATTTTCAAAATAATAAAGCATCACCCAAAAGTTTCCACGCCTATATAGTTCTCTAGGTGAGAATTAATATGGGGGTGAAGGATTATTTACTAAAATAATTGAAGGGTGATTTTTACTAGAAAAAAAAATCACATTTTCCTTTTAATGTAACAAAATTATTGGATCATCCAAAATGGTATTCTGGGAGACAGGCTAGTCAGGTGCTTTCAATTTTTTTTAGCATAATCCATTGTAGAATTCACATAATCCATAATTCATTCTTCCAGATCTACACATATGCAAATATTATTTCTTCACCTATATATTTAAATATATGCAAATACAAGTATGTATTTTCCTACTATGTGTGATGTTCTCAGATATTTGTATATTCTATTTCTCTTTGGCTCCTTTTTCTTTTCTTCATTATTATTTTGTCAATGCAGGCTGCAAACCACTAACTGGATTTCATGATCTGGTTTGTCTGCCTATAAAACACCATTGGATGTATCTTCTTCAACAGGGCCTCATCCAAGCTTTTCTGTCCTGTCCCAAATATCTGAAGTTTCTGGTACAGATAAAGAGATCCTGTTTCTAACATTATCATAGTACAACTTGAGGCAAAACTAACTTACACATCTTTTTTCCTTTCACTGGAGAAAAACCTTGTCTCCAGTTACATTTCTATTGACCACGCCTTAGCATCTCCATGCTATCACTGAGGTCTGAACTGCCAATCCACCTGGACCACAGTGAAGCCCCCTGAGCCCTCTCGTCTTTTGCCCACTGTTCCTGTTCTCTTCCTCACAAAGCAGCTGAGATGTTCTTGTTAAAGGCTAAGTTACATTATATCACTTTTTGGGAGATCCTCATGGATAGCTTCCTTCCCATGACATGTAAATCAGATCTGATCCCATACCATTTCTCACCCTACATTTGCCCCACCCATCTGTCCTGCTCACCTTTTCCTTCCCATCCCCCCCTCCTCTTCTGCTGTTCACACCTGCTCACAGCACTCCAACCCTGGACCAGCCACTTTATTTTCCCTCAGAACTCCAAGCCCTGCCACGAGCCACTTTCGAGGTCTGGAATGTTCCTCCCAAACTTCTGATACAGCATGATTTACTTAACTTGCCGTGCTGTTGCTGACTGCCCACTCCCCATCTGGAGAACATAAGCTCTGTGAAGGCAGAAAGCTGATTCACAGGTTTGCCCTAAGTAGCTATAAAAGTGCTCAACGTATTTTTTGGCACTGTATAAATACTGGTAGTTGAAGGAAAATATGTTAGCTGTCATTGTTGATATTATCAATAGCACAATAACTCAAGATACTCTGGCCTCCGCCTACCCATACAGAATTACACAGTTCTATTATTTTAGCATCAAGCAAAGTACACTAGCCATAGATGTAACACTTTCAATATAAACCTTACGCTGTAAGGGTGGGGGAGAAAAACATACTTAGTCTGTAAAGCTTAGGTAAACGTTTTTCCCCAAATTTCCCTTTCTAATAAACGATTAAGTCTCATATCTATGTTTCAGGTTTCACTGGGCCCTAGCTAAATATTTATAATAGGTATTTAGTGCATATTTTATACAAAAGGAATTAAAAAATGTCTGCTTAGATACATTTCATTTAAATTACAGGCCCCTGCGGGGCTGGGGATGTGGCTCAAGCGGTAGTGCGCTCCCTGGCATGCGTGTGGCCCGGGTTCGATCCTCAGCACCACATACCAACAAAAGATGTTGTGTCTGTCGAGAACTAACTAAATAAATAAATAAATATAAAAAAATAATAATAAAAATAAATAAATAAATTACAGGCCCCTTGAAGAGTCAATGAAATAAATATCGTTTTCCCTAACACGGGTCCAAAGATGGCTGGGTTGCTCTGTGAGATCCTTTTCATGCCCTCCTGAGGCACCCTGCTAAAGCAATGCTCATTCAGAACCTTCAGATGAGCCCATTCAAGACCACATAGGGTACATTTTTAATTATTAAACTGCAGACCATGTAATTATCAAACTGCAGACCGTGACAACGTAGGGATTCTTTAATGGCAATTCCCTACCTGTGTTAGCCACAGTTTCCCATCAGTGCCTCAATCTTCAACTGTGTAATCAGTTACAATTTCATTCAGTTGAGGATTAATCTCAAAGTCTGAGCCTGAGTATTTCTCTCATATAACACCACTGAGGATTAGCCAAAGCTGGATTCAAAGTCCAGAGATCAGGAGCAACAGAGGAGAGAAAGAATAGGGTAAGAAAGGACTGCCAAAATAAAGACTGGCTCACATGGATACGTCTGCTCTCTCCCCTTCACATCTATAAAGTTCTGGAAGACTGGTTTATTTTGGAAAATTAATCTTTCCTTTAGTACACATTACATTTTGCAAAAAAAAAAGATGGTTTATATGAAAATGTCTACATAAAAATCACCATGTGTAGTTTATAAGTGCATACATATTACATAAAGCATAAGGAGAAAAATAAAATATGTTTCATATTTCTTCCCTTGGGCAGATTCCAACACTCGCCCCACCATTCAAATAGACCATTCAAACTCTGCCTTGTTTTGTTCCTTTTGGTGTGGGTGAGATTTATAGATAGCCTCAGGTGGTCATGTGGTAAAGCAATTTTAAGAACCACTATTTTACATTAGCTGTACCCATGGGTTCTATTTAATCAAGCAAGAAGCAGCCCTTTGTCCTAAGAGGGGGAGATCATCAACATAACCCCTCACCTGAGTTGGAATACTGTGTGCCTAAGTTAATAGCAAAAGTCCTCGTTCAGACTACCCAGGCACAAATCCCAACTCTGCTACTTACTAACTAAACAAGATTAGTATGTTAACTTAACCCTTCTCTGCCTCTAGATTTTCTTTGTAGGGATAGCAGCACCTTCCTTATAAGGCTATTTTAGAAATTAAGTTAAACTGTACTATTTTAGTCTAGTTAGGTTTAGCTAACAATACCAGAGACTTGAACTATAAAAATTTATTTTATTTTGCAAAGACACCAGTCCTTTTGGATTACGGCCCCACCTCTGTGGTCTCATTTAACCTTAGTTATCTCCCTAAAGACTCAAAGTCCAAATTTAGTCATGTCATGGGCTATGGCTTAACATGAATTTAAGGGATTACAATTCAGTACATAAAAGGTCTATACATATGATACCTGACATATAGTAACTTCACAATAAATACCAGCTCTCATATGATGTACTTTTACTATTCTACGAAACATATATATAAGTGTTAGGGTCAACATTTATCATTTTAGCTAGTTAAAATTCTAATTTATAAGTAGAGGTAAATCTACACTAACAAATTCAAAGAATGTACTCATATAAAAAGACAAATGAGCATAGTTTTAATTCTAGGGTGATAACTAAAGAGCAGACATATACAACTTACCCATTAGTTCATGTAACACATTTTGAAAGACATTTGATTTTGTAATCTTGTACGATACACCAATTTTCAATGTTGTCAATCTAGAAACTATGAGCCAAATCCAGTGTGTGGCTTGCTTTGGTACAGCTTCAGTTAAGAATGTTCTAGAAATTGTTTAAGAGCAGCAAGAAAAAAACACACATAAGAAGATTGCTTCCGATTCCTTCGACAGCCCATATATTTGCTACATGCCTGTTTTCTGAAAAGGTTTTCAGACCCTGTTCTGTGTGAGTAATTGAGGCCTGGCCCTCCCAATGTATCGAGATCTTGTCATGTGAACACCTTGACATTCCTCTGAGCAATGCTTCATTTGTCACCCTAACATTTTCTTTTTATCTCTTTATATTTCTTACATTTTTTAAAATCCTTTTTATGTTTCTTTAGGGAGAAATAATTCTAAAGTTTCTGACACGTCTCACCATCTTCCAAGAAATAGGACCTTTTCTTGATGGCTGGTACCCAGCAATGGTCACAAAAGTTGGTAAGGGTCGTGGCATTTCTGAGTAATTGTGTCTGTTATGATATTTCTTCTGGTGAGGCTGAGGCTGTTATTTCTTGTGACTGTTGGTCTACCCATTTTTGAGACCTCTTTTTTTTTTCCCTGCTTCAAATTTGCCCTGGGCTGGAGAAAGAAAGAAAACACAAACTATGATTGAAGAACACTTTCTACCGCTCAAGTTTCATTGGATTATTTTCATTTGTTAGCCTCTTTAATTCTTGTAACTGTGTAGTTGTTTTTGCTCTACAAATTAAGAAGCTGGGCCTCAGAAGAGTTAATCTGCTTGAATTCAAGCTCAAGTTCTTCTAGTTTCAAAATTCAAGTCCTTTCATCATAGAAACCAAAAAACCCAGTGGAATAAACTGTACATAATATAAGAGTAAACAGACTAAAACGACATTTCTCTGTATGAGGTGCCCAGTGTTGATGTGTTCTGAGACGTGTGTTTTGTTTTCTTCTCAGTTCTTAGCAGTATTCCAGATAGTTCAGTTGTCTGACAAACAACTTATAAATTAGTGAGGTGCTGGAATAACACTTTCCTTGTTCAAGTATAGCCTTGGACATCGTTCATTGGCTACAGCCACTCAAATGTAAACACTAAGAAACTGTACATTCTTCATGCCAGAGAATGTCCAAAAAGGAGTATGGTTATGTGATTATGAGACTACATGTGTGTCTGTTGCGTATATGAACATATACAATGTATGCACATGTGTACTCACATACACTCCCACACACGGTTTATTCAGGTGTCCACCTTGGAGGCTCTGAACTACAGTTTTCCATTCACTTGTGCTTTACAATTCCAGTCTTCCCCTGAGACAGATTTTAACTTAAATTCTTGAAATACATCTCACTTCCACTCTTCCTCAAAACATCCTGTACAAAAAGCAGGACCTTGTGCTAAATGATACCTATCTAAAACAAACAGGAGAAGGAGCTCAAAGAATAAGAGTTTATAAGCAGGAGTTCAAAGAATAAGAGTTTATAAGCAAATTGTTTTGGAGTATTTTTAAAAATTCCCTAATACCAAATTACCTAAATGGTGAATTATGTTAATTTCTATATATCATCACTACATAGGTGCAATATATGATTGTGTTTACACAAATATTTCATAAAACTCTGGAGAGCACCATTAATAGTAGCACCAAATTAATGGTGAGAATCAGTTCCAGGAATGTCTGAGTGTCTCACCGCAGCAGGGAGGGCACTCTGGGATTAAACAGGGATTGGAGATATGGTATGGTTTGGATGTGGTTTGTCCCTCAGGGGTTCACATGTTTGAAGCTTGGTCCTCAGTGTGGTGGTGTGAGAAGTAAGAGGTGGGGCCTAGGGGGAGGCTCTTAGGTCTTTGGTGGCAAGTCCTCAGAAGGGATTAGGGTAATTCTCATGGAATTTTGAGTTTCTTCTCATGAGAGCAAATTGTTATAAAATCCTGTCCTCGTACATTGTTATGACTCAGATCTTAAATGACCCCTAAAGGCCACATGCTGAGAACTTGGTTGCCAATCTATGGCACTCACTGTTGGGAAATGGGTGGAACTTTTACGAAGTGGGGTCTAGTAGGAAAAGACTAGGTCACCGGGGTGCATCATTAACCCTAGCTCCTGCTCTTTTTCTGCTCCCCAGGTACCATGTGGTGAGCGGCTTCCTCCTCAACACATACCACATCATGAACACCACATCATGATGTGCTGCAGGGGCACAGAGCCAAGTGACTATGGACTGAAACCTCTCAAATGTGAACCAAAACAAGTATTTTCTCCTTTTATTTATTTTCTCCTTTTATTTATCTCAGGCATTTTGTTACAGTAACAGAAAGTTAACACATATGCTACCTACATGATATCCTCACCACAGCTAAGTGGATACCCTTGAACTTTCAGAACTGAACTAAATAAAGTTATTCTGTTTATTTATTGCTTATTACCCAGCATTGGGTATTTCATCATAGTGATAAAAACGAGAAAAGTACAAGGTACAAGGGCAAGAATGATGGGGACTACATATTTCTCCCTGGTATTTTTCACAAATGGTTCATAATGAAAGTATGTGAAAGCTCTTTGTATCAATGAAGTCTTATTTTAGTCCTTTTTGCATAGTATTTATTTCCCTGTGACAAAGCAAGTGGTTCTTATCATTGTCCCTTAAAATAGGAAAGGTTGATTGCAGTTTAAAGTAGAAGGTGGTTAAAGGGAATCCTTTCCTGGGTTTTGGGTTCCAAGACACTGAATGAGTTCTTTTAGGGTGTTTTGCTAGAGGCAACTAATGAGGCAGGGGTTAGGAATAGAACAGCTGAGAAGAAGAACTGATTCTTCTATACAGAGACATAGAAATTGCTGCTTTTCCAACAATAGTGACTTCTGCTTCCACCTAGGGGTACTTCCAAAGAGGAGGGAAGACTTGGAAGGAGGATACACAAAAGGAGGATAAGTGCTAGGCACTGTCCCTTGGCACTGAGAAAGTTCCAAAACAAGCTCCTTCAAAGACCCACTATTGAGGATGATGAGAACAATGGATTATGATCATGACATCCTAAATATAATGGAATCCTTCCCTCATTTTTCAGATACCATAATTTTCACATTCACGTCAAAACTAGAGAAGGGAAGAGGCCCCAGTAAAACAAATGGAGTTTCAAAGTCCAATTATTTTGATTTAAAATAATGAAGAAATATGGTGTCTTGAAGTGTTAGGTTGTAAACCAGAGTCCCATACACGTACATGGCTAATAAGGGCTCTTTCCACATGTTCAAATCAAAGGGCTCTCACAACCTCTGCTGGGGCTTGTGCTGCTGAGAAACAAGCTCAGCATTATTATAGTCAGAGTGAGTGATGCTCACTGGAATGATGCAGTTCCAGGGCTCTCAAGGTGACCCAATTTGCAACAACCTCCTTGACTGCCCAGTGTAATAAACTACCACTCTCTCCTTCACGTTCTATAATTCTTCAATTATAACTTCAATATGATCACAAAGGGTCCTATTTTCAACCTTTAATTCTAACTTCACAAAAATAATTTTTTACTTTTTCCTAATCTTATAATTATCTGGCTCAGCAGGCAACCCCAAAATGTTCCCATACAGATAATTATGTCATTATCTGCTAAAATCTCATCTTTCTCTTAGAAAACACTTTCACGAAGTCACCTGGCTGCGTTGCAAAAATTTTGTTCTTGTAGGACCCCTTTGCCCTACCCAACGTGATGCAAATTAGAAAAAT